TTGCTTTGAGTGAAATATGTGTTATTAAGTTTAATCTGTTGTTGTATTACTTTCTTATCCATATTTAGTATTGTAATATATTAGTTAATGGGTTTAAAGCCAGAAAAAACCATAGTAAATTTATGAAATTTCCAGGAAAATGTCTTGTTTAATATATATTTCATATGTTTTGAAGTTTGAAATACAGTGATACATTATGTTTTCTAGAATTGTTATTATTATTTTATAACATAATTACTTTTTTATATTTGTGGACATTTTAATTTAAAATGTATCGTCTTCACATTTATAAAAGTGTGTAATGTTTAGTACACTTTCATATAATATTCTTTAATTGAAGTATAGATTCGTATTAGAAGCATTTTCGTCTATTTTATATGGCCTATTTAATAATTTACTTTTATAAATGGATTTTTTCCTTATGTCATTTTCTAATGATACAATGAATCATTTACGTCAACATTTACTTTCTTGCGTCATTTTATTTTGAAAATTTTAACAAAGAGTTATCACAAATAAAATTTCAACTATTATTGAATTATGTAAATTGTAATAAATTGTAATACTTTCACAATTAAATAAAAATATAAAAAATAATCTTTATACTTTTATCTAATTGTAAAGTATTTAAATATATCTGTTTTTAATTACTTGTAAAATTTATTTGAAAAAAAATTCAACGAGTTGTTTAACTTTTCCGGCAATACTTGGTGGCTCCATCTGTTATCATATTTTAATTAAAAATGTTTTATATTTTAAACTAATATAAAATGGAAAAAAAGCTTAATTTTTAGGGTAGTGATGAGTTTTATATATTTAAAAAAAAAACTTGTTAAAATACTAATAACGAGTAAAATTGCTATTAAGTCCAACCGTACTGGAGATACACACGACCCAAATTATTTTTCCAACCCCTCGACATTTAATCACCGAAATTTAACAGCATCAATCCCCCTAATAAGGAAACCTCGCTGCAAAATTTCAAGTATTTTCGATAAAAAGCACAGGAGTTATTAAGCTTTAAAGAGGGTAAACAAAATCGTGCCCCCTCCACAAAAACTTACAGAAATTACTCCCGAAATTTTTCATTTCTCGACGTTTCAAAGTGTTCTAAGTCCAAAAATCTTGAGTGGTTATTGCCATAATTTCTCTCCGTTATATATAACAGACTGAAAAGTAAAAACTCTATATCGACGTTTAAATATACCGGTTTTACTTAATCCTTTTACGTTCGGATCTAATTCGCAATGAGGTCGACCAGCAGGGGAGACAGATCGGAAAATAGTAATCTGACTCGTACTATCTAACTTGTAAGATAAAATATGAGGCTCTGTATGGGGATGACATTCATATCCTTCATCGTTAAGATATAATGTTACGAGGAATATCAACAATGACGAACGAGATGGATTATCATTCTCTCAACTTTATTAGCTCTATTAACACTGTTATAGCGATAGAATTTCTATGCTGGGTTCTTCAAATACTTCCTCTCCTTATGTGTTCTTCTTATCAATGGCATATAAGATTAAGGTCATCGAAGCAACGACCTAAATTTCTCGTGATCTTCCGTGACATACAGAAAATTAGTGTAATTAATAAAATTGTACTCTTAAAATTTAAAGTTTATTTATTTAATTTTATTTATTCATTTACTTTTCCGTTTGTTATATTTAACATAGAGAAAGTATTGCGATCGATTAAAAAAATGACCCCAAGATTTTTAAAATTTGGGAACTATAACGTCGAATAATGCAAAAAAAAATTCTGGGGTATTTATGTATGTTTTCTGTATGTATACTGTAGTTGTTTGTATATGTATGACACAATTTTGTTCACCCCGTTTGAAGCTTAATAACTCTTGTGCTTTTTCTCGAAAATTTCAGAAACTTTGCAGGGAGGTTTGTGTATTAGGGAGAGTGATTCTGTTAAATTTTGGTGTTTAAAAGTCGAGGTGGTTGGAGAGATAATAGGTGTCGTCTATATCTCTAGTAGGATCAGACTTAATAATGGTTTCACTCGTTATTAGCATTTTTACAAAATAATTTATTAACCATTGTTTAACTAGTGTTAGAGTACAGTCGACCCACCCTATAACACTGTTGATTTTTCCGTTTTATATGAATTCCATGTTGTACGAGTCACTTAGATTTTACAAATACGTGAGCTGTTCACAGCCCGGCACGCGTATTTGTAAAATCTAAGTGACTCGTACAACATGGAATTCATATAAAACGGAAAAATCAACAGTGTTATAGGGGGTCGACTGTATACAACTTTATGTATTGCATAGGTAAGTATAACAGCTTGACACATTAAATTTATCGACCCCTTTTTACATCAGTTATATAAATCGAGAGAAAAAAAATAATGATTTTTAATGCTACTAATTATTATAAGTTTAAAATAAATAGGAATTTGATACTTAATTTAGAACGTTAACTTTCTCCTGTCGTAAAATAATTGATTAAATATTTTGATACATTTTATTAAGTATAATGCAGGATAAATTTAGTACGATTGAATAAAATCAGAATAAATAATGTTTAATTATTTTAATAAAAACATATTTTAAAACGATTACTAAATGATAAAAAAAAAATCATTTTTATGGAAGTCAAATGAGAAACGAAAAGGTCTACGATGATACCAGTTCAATGTCACTCAATTAATCATAGTGTTGTCGACATGCCGTCAACAACAATTCTATTTGAATGTTAACTTACGTTCCTTAAGGGGACACGAATATTTTGATTTACAGCAAGAAAAGTTCAAGAAAATCATCTGGATATACAATATAAACTGAATTATTTATGAGTGTTTTCATGACTTTTCAACAACAAGGTAAGCGGGGTAACATTAACAGTCGATGCAATGAATACAAAACTGTATATTAAAAAAAAACAATACAGAAAAAAAAAACAAAAAACATTTAAATACTTAAATACGAAAGCGATATCACACGCATTAAATTCCTTTTTACGTTACTAAATACCCAATATTTAATTGTTTATAATATTTTATGAACAGTTCGACAATATATACTAATAAACATGTATTAAATAATGAAATTTACTGATAAAAAGAGCGAAAAAAAATGTTTATGTATATAATTGCTATTTTATTTTCTTATTGTTTGTTGTTTTTTAATTGCTGTTTTACTTTCATATCGAGTTTAAAAAAAAATTACAGATAATGTGTATGTCATTTTTAAACAAAGCTAGTTTTTATAAATTATTATATAGAAAATTCGAATTCCTTTTTAGTTTAATGTAAAGATTAGATTAAAACAATTAGTTATATAAAATAAATAAAAAAATTTATGAGAAAATTTCTATGTCACATACAATAACAAAAATATTAATGATTGTGACCAGTCAATTTGGAACTTATTTGAAAAAATGAAAACGTTCACTTTTGTTCTACTTTCTCTACCTTATTTTCGAAAACTCTTAACATTTTTTTATTATATGATTTTAATTCCTTTTAAAGCAAAATAAAGTATATTGCAGCCAAAACTAGTTCTTTAAGTTCTTTAATATTTAGTAATTCTTAATTAGAAATGAATAATTGTTAAATTGTTTATGAAGTGTTAAATAAAATAAAATACATTTCATTAAACAGTTAAAGTAAAATAACGTTTGGCATAGCCTATAAATGGTGCTTATTTATTTATTTTTTTGTTAAATTTATTGTTGATAATAAAGAATATATAAATATAAAGTAGATTTTGATATATGCATAAATAGCTACACTTTTAGTTTAATAATTTGTTCATATTCGTAAGACGACATAGTGTCATGTATACAAACTGTATGATATCTTAATCTAATAATTCTTATTCTCACTTGTTCTGTACTTCTTGTTTTATTTAAAAAAAATGTAATAGTTATGTATAAATTATGTACTTTGTTTGTCAAATATTAAGCAAAACGTACAAAGAATTTTTATATAAAATACATTTATTTTATATAAAATACCTTACTTAATGGACAACGACTTTTCTTTTCATGAACCTAAGTAATATATTGTATATGTGTTGACTTTAAAGTGAACTACTGAATATTTTGCTAATATAAATTAATATTTATGATTTCGTATAATGCAATTTATAACAGCTAAAGTTCTAGAAATATAAAATGTACCATAAAGTAAACCTAATCTTTACTCAACTGACATTCTCTTGCCCGAATTACTCCATTAAATAGAGGATTTACTGTGTTTTACTGTGTTTTAACTTGTTTGAATATATTTAAAAAAACTAAATAAATAAATTTATACGTTATTTCAAACATACACTTTATTGAGATACAGTGACTTGAAGAAAGAAATGGCTATATTATAAAAAATGGAGTAAACATCGTGCATTGTCAACTATAACAATAACTTTAACGTCATAAGTATTGTTCTTAACGTAAGTACTGGCGAACACACACGCGACTTTTTAATTCGAGGAAACAAATGCGAGTAAGGCACAAGTTATAACATATATATTTGTTTCCATGTAAGTTATACATGAAAACAAATGGAACAATACACACGTGACGAGACACTGAAGCGACTCGCCACGTGTATACTGCTGTAGATAATTGCTGTGTAACTTATTTCCCTCGTGTTAAAAGATCGTTCGTGTACACAAGCTACTAATGTTGCTTTTATCACTAGCTTATGTGATTTCGGGAAAGCTAAAAACAGTGTACTTTTCACTAACTTGTAAGTAACATATTAACACGAAATTTCCACGGGATCTCACATTGCAGTTTTCATTTTATTACTTGTTTTTCACAAAAAAATATTTATTTTAATTAACATTATTATAACTAGTCGTTTGTAAAATATATAATAATAACACCACAAAGCTTTAAAATATATAAAAAAAATTTTTTTATTAATGTATTACTAATTTTATTATTCTTACTTAATATACAAACGTAAAATGTTAAAAAAAAAGTTAACATATATCAATAATAATATTTGTGAATAAAAAGTATATTTTTAAGAAAATATATATGAAAATTATCACAGATTTACATATCATGATTTAACGATAGCTTTACTTCCATAAATTCCACGTCAGATTCTTTCAAATGTTCTTCATTTTCGACCTCTTCTATGGACAACGGAGCAAAATGACCATCGTTAATTGTTTTAACTCTTGAAGAAAGTGATTTATCACATTGTCCTAAAACATCTAAAAGTAATGGTATAAGAAATAAAGCGTGAAAAGCTGTCTGAATAGCAACAATACTAATTATTTTAAAGAAAACTCTGGAGATATAAAAGGGCTGAAAACCCAAAATCATAACACCAAGAATAGTAGAACATGATCCTTGAAAGATAGGAAAACCAACTTCATACAAAGATTTCTTAATTCTGTCTTTTGAATTCAAATTACCAGCTAAAACAAAAGATGATGATATGTGAGTTGGATAATTAATAGAAAATCCTACACATAATATTAAAATCGTAAGAGATGGTAAATCTAATTTAACATTCCAAAAAACCATTATACCTACGGTTTCTATTATAATACATATAATTATTACTGAGATACAAACGGCACAAGTAATATTTGGTACGAAAAGAAAAAATATAATACAAATTAATGCTGATGCTACTAAACCAATTTCGATAGCGATTCCTTTAATTAATATTGCTTGTTCAAGAAAATGAAAATTAAGAGAAAATACTTTAACAGGTACAGGAGTATTTTCTGTAATTATTTCCATTTCTTTCATTACATTCGTTTCTATTGTTGGACTATCAATATTTTTCATAGGCAATAAAAATCTACTAGCAATAATATCAGTATAATTTTCATTAAATTTAATATCTAATTCAAATTGTCTGGCTTGAGGAAACTTAAGAAATACATTACGAAGTCCATCAATAAAATCCTGTTTATCAGACATATTATAACCTCTAAGTAAAAAAGTACCAGCTGGATGATTCATAAAAGATTTATAATATTTTAACCATGAAAGAGTTAATGCAGATTCAGAAATATGAGGATGAGATTCGAATTTTTTAATAGTTTCTTCAATGGCCCGTTGTACATCATTATCTGCATAATTCAACGGTTTATTTATGATTAAATGTATAGGATAAGTATATTTTCCAAAATACTTAAACATAATATCACTAAATGTTACTAAAGTAGAATTATAACTCAATAAATCAGCATACTCGTTACCAGTTTTAATAAATGCCAAACCCCATAATGAAGTACCGACGTTGATAAAAAATAGAGCAAACACAAATACTTTTGTTAGTGGATACGTTAAAATAGGGCCTAATTTGTCTCTCAATTGTGCCATAATGAAGTCTTCTTTATATACAGGATTTTCATCTAAAAAGTAAAAAAATATAATAATAATAATAATAATTATTATTATTTAATATAATAAATGATTCAATTAAATATTAATTATATTATATTTATTATTTTTTATCAGTGTTTTCCATAGTATGGATCGTGGCACGATATAGCTTCATTATCATTATATTATATAATATACTTGTTGTATAAAAATTGTCACGCATGAAGCTGTATTTCTATAATCCAAATGGGTGTAAATATTATTGAAAAACATAAATATTAGCTGAAAATTTCTGAGAAATTAATTGCCGAAGTGTACCGGTTGCATGGCCACCTCACTCTCTGGATCTAACACCTTAGACTTTTTCTTATGGTGATTTCTTAAAGATTGAGTGTACGTTTCAACCTTACCTATAAGTGTGGCTGAATTCCAACTCTAATTACCTCTGCAGTGGCTCAAGTGACACCGGAAATGCTGCACCACATATGGGAAGAAACTGACTATAGATGGAAAGTTTACCGCACAACAAAGGAAGTCATATTGAATAAAAAAAAAACCCGATGGACATAAACCTTGAAATGTTTAACTACATTTCAATGTTATAAAATTATATGTCTCTTCTGTCAGTTCACCAATATCTCGCTTTCAAGTTGTAAAATTATTTTTGAAACACCCTGTAATTATTGTTTCATAGTTAACCCGATTCTATGTCTTAGGTTTCGGTTATTATGTTGTCATTCGTGTCTAATTCGATGTCGTTGTAGAAATCAAGGTCTTGACTAACATCTAGTTCATACTTGTTACTGTAAACTGTATATAGAGTGCAGTTTTTCGATATGTTTCCTATGTTTTTCAACACGAAATTATTCGAGACAAATCATTTATTCCATTGTTTACGTATCCATTTGTCTCTCGATGGCTACTATTGTTATTATAGTTGACATTTTCATATGAAACGATTATTATTCTTATTTACGATAAATAAAAAATCAAAATAAAACAATACTAATGAATAAAATATTTAACCTATTATCATATACATTGCATTTATTTATATGAGAAAACAGGCAAATTCTTACCTACATTTTGTGAAATATAAGAATATTTAATCTCTTTTTAACTTACATCACCCTCAGCTTTAATAAGTCTTAAACAATCCACATTGTAGAGTAGTTGAATAAAAATAATACAGTAATAATAAACTTATACCAATTTATTGCTTCCCGACGTTAAATTAATTTGAGGGATTCTCTGAATACAATGTAAAACACCCTCTAACAATGCTACTGCATGGTTTTTTTCTGACATTTTATATTGCTTAGAGATATTTAATCCCTTGATCAATTTTTAGAACTTGAAATGAATACAATTCACAGACCTTGAATCTAATTCATAATTTTCGATGTTGTGTAAATTACTTACTTGACTGACAAATAATTACTGTCAATTTCAGGGACAAAAGGTTAGATGTTGTCATATACCTGATATCTTGTATAAGTTTTGATACACGTTTTGTAACTAGATTTTAGTAGGTGTTTAGTATTGTGTATTTGAAATAAATTGAATAATAAATTATAAATGAAGTTAAAAGTTTTTTGTAACGAACTAAATCTGACGTAGTCAGGTCCAAAAATATAGTTTATAAGATCAATAATCTTTAATTTAGTAGAGATAATAGTAGAAAAATTTAAAGAGGAAATAGAATAATATGAAAATTTTTATACAAGAAACCAAAATGCGTATAATTTATGAGGAATCTTTAGTCACTTTTGGTGCACTTACCTCATAATTAATTTTATTCTATTTTAGGTTTAATTATTATATATAAATGATATAAAACATACCTCCTGAAAACTGAAAAGTGATTGAATGTAGTCTTTTCTTTTCTCTATAACCGCTGAGTGCCATGCATCCTCCAAAGAACGTAATCTGATAAACGTATGTAAATAATGTACACGTAGCTGCATAGATACAAAAGATTCTTATTGCTGGAAAATTCGATGCAATTCCGATTGAGAATGATAGAAAATTTGTCAAAGAAGTTATCGTAACAGATACAACTGCTTCAGAAAAAGTTTCTGCCATTCTGTCTGCAACACTAACTTTCGGATTTGTTCTTCTCCATGCCGATATTAAAATATAAGAATCATCAATTTCCGTAGCTGTAAATATAAAAATAATACAATATATGATATTGTTAGGAAAATAGTAGTATATCTGATTAATTCTGAATTTTATCAAATTCAAAGATATATCATAAAAATAATTTTAAATTATTTAAGTTAAAAATTAATCGCAACACGTGAACAATCTGCCAAAGGGGATGTCTTTCGGAAGGACTTCCTATGGAAAATTGATGGTAGACGGCGAAGAAAACCGGAAAATACCAGTTGGTCAGCCGGTTGGTGAGATGCGAACCGACTACTGGTGTTAAGTGGTTTTATGAACTTTGCCATTGGTTAGCTTATAATTATTTTAAAGACCTGGATCATGGTTAAGTAACACTTAATACGCGTGCAAGTAGTGTCACGACAATACTTTTTCTCAGGCACGTAACCCAGGACTCACCTTAATAGATATACATATATTTTCTTTAAATCAGTAATAAAAATATTCTAAGTTATTGTAGATTAGAAATATATCGTTTTTAAATTCTTAATGCAATTCCTATGAAATAATAATTGCTATTATTATCAAATATTATTAAATCTGATAAATAAGAATTTAATAATTACGAAAAAGTACTCACCTAGAACAGAATAGCAAAGAGCTATGTTAAAGTCTACGTATTCGATTCCAATATACGACATTAAACCAAATCCACTAGTAATAGCTATTCCAGCCGAAAGACATGCAGAAGGTCCAAGCCAAGGTTTACTTTTAACCCAATCGTTAGTTATTAAAGTGATAAATGAAAACACTGCAATTATTAATACCACAAATGGAATCCTCGGAAGAAGTCTGTTAGTAAATCCTTTGATCTCTTCATCGATAACTTGGTGACTTATATAAGAAAGACAAATGACATCCGAATGATAATATTTCATAAAATTATAAACTTGTTGTTGCCATTGTTTTATCGCTTCAAGTTTTTTACTATCGCTGAAATCTAAAATATAAAATTGTCTTACGCTCTTTAAATCTGTAATGTAATCTTCTTCATCTAATTCAACACCTCCTAAAGTGAGAATATATTCCTTAAATGCAAATGTAAATTTATCAATTTCTACGGGATATTTTATTTTTTTCTTTCCTGATATAATCTCTTTAGTAAATGGTAATAATTTTACAAAATTTCCTTCTTCACATTCTTCAAATTTCTTTGCGCATAAATCTTTATATTTCAAAACTTTACCATTTATATTTATGGAGATGTTTTTAATACTTTCATGAAATATATTTATTTCATTAAATATATCTTCTCTTAACATTGTTTCTCCTTCTTTAGCAACAATTTGAAAGAGTATAAAATTTCTATTTGTTATTCTTGGTATATCCATATAAAAAGATGTATTGACAGGAAATAATTCGTCTGTAAGTCTTTTTATGTTTACAGCTTTACCATCAGTTGATGTAAAAAGATAATCAGCATTTCTACTAATTTGAATATTCAGAATACCCGAAGACAGTGCTATTGATAAAAGTAACGAACCTGCGATGAAATATAAAGGATGACCTCCTATTAATCTACCAAGTCTTTGAAATTGGCGTGAGAGCCCATTTTGAATACACATAAGATTCATTTTTTTTGGTTTGTTTGAAGATTACTAGAAGATAAAAATAATTAATAAATTAANAAATAAAATTATGTAATTTCAATTTTTCTATATAAACATGTAGATATTATTTTGTAACATACATTCCTGCATTAGAGATATAGAGATTGTATTATTATTATTATTATATAAACTGAATGCGTACGAATAAGATTCATTAAATAGGCCTGCAATAGAGATGCTTGTTATCTACATCAAACTACAAATATAAATATCATAATAGTTTTCTAAGGCTAGACTTTGTTATAATAAATCTAACCTTAGAAAGCTATTATTATACTTTTATTTGCTGGATTCGTTTCTTAAGATTGTGTTCCTTCAGTTTTATAATTAATGTAATGTAATGTTATATAGAGAAATGTAAACAGAGATTTTAAATGGTTAAACAGTATAGTATTGACGTTATTATTCCACTTTACACAAAACGAATGTGCCTTAAGAATATCAATTTAAACACAGTGTTCTTACATATCCATAATACAGTATTAAAAATATTTTAAAAAACCGAAATATGATGGATAACCTACGTATAAATAAACACGAAATATAATAAACAACATTTTTCAGGATTAAGTATTTCGTAAAATCTAGCAAATAAATTAATCTTATATAAACCTTGAGAGATATAATCAAGAAAAGCTTGTAACATTACCAAAATAGAATACATGTTTGAATACTTATATATATTTAGACTCAGTCGATCCTATACTTTAAAAAAAATTTTTTTCCTGTCATGCTGTATTGTTAGAAATTAATAAATATGTATATCAATTAGCCTTTATTGTTTAGAATAATAAAATGATTAAAAAGGAAAATCTCAAATAGTTCATATAGAAAAAGAAACCTAATATAAAGGATAAGAATGAGTTTTGACGTCATTTTATACTCACCTCAATGACATATATAAACAACATACCAAATGAAGAGGGAAGAAATTGTGTAAGAGGAAAATGGATAAAAATTAAGGATGTCATGAAATGGGTCAGAACCTTGAAACAGCACGAGCTTTATCAAACTTTGCAATAATAAAAAAAAAATATATATATATATTTATATATATAATAATGTACAGTAAGCCGATTGCAAAGTTTATATAAATCCCTTTATAAACAAGTGTAATAAAATTTAAAAACAAACAAAAAATAAAAACACGAGAATGGGTATTATATTGTAGAAAAACTATTGTTTTTGACATTAAATCTAATGACTTCTATTATGATTGCTATAGTTTATAAATACAACAATAATCAATAAATTATTATCAATATTAACGTCAATTTAGAAGAAAGGACAGAGAAATTTAGAAGAAAAGGACAAATTCAATTGTGTTTATTTGAAATTGATAAATCCAACAATTGTTATAGAGAATTTTACCGTTCATTCAATGAAAGAAAGATTTTTCAATAAGGAAAAAGTATATGCCTTTTTTTTTGAAAATTTATTTAAAAAAATATCATTTCTAGTGATAAAAATTGTAGATTAGAAATATATCGTTTTTAAATTCTTAATGCAATTCCTATGAAATAATAATTGCTATTATTATCAAATATTATTAAATCTGATAAATAAGAATTTAATAATTACGAAAAAGTACTCACCTAGAACAGAATAGCAAAGAGCTATGTTAAAGTCTACGTATTCGATTCCAATATACGACATTAAACCAAATCCACTAGTAATAGCTATTCCAGCCGAAAGACATGCAGAAGGTCCAAGCCAAGGTTTACTTTTAACCCAATCGTTAGTTATTAAAGTGATAAATGAAAACACTGCAATTATTAATACCACAAATGGAATCCTCGGAAGAAGTCTGTTAGTAAATCCTTTGATCTCTTCATCGATAACTTGGTGACTTATATAAGAAAGACAAATGACATCCGAATGATAATATTTCATAAAATTATAAACTTGTTGTTGCCATTGTTTTATCGCTTCAAGTTTTTTACTATCGCTGAAATCTAAAATATAAAATTGTCTTACGCTCTTTAAATCTGTAATGTAATCTTCTTCATCTAATTCAACACCTCCTAAAGTGAGAATATATTCCTTAAATGCAAATGTAAATTTATCAATTTCTACGGGATATTTTATTTTTTTCTTTCCTGATATAATCTCTTTAGTAAATGGTAATAATTTTACAAAATTTCCTTCTTCACATTCTTCAAATTTCTTTGCGCATAAATCTTTATATTTCAAAACTTTACCATTTATATTTATGGAGATGTTTTTAATACTTTCATGAAATATATTTATTTCATTAAATATATCTTCTCTTAACATTGTTTCTCCTTCTTTAGCAACAATTTGAAAGAGTATAAAATTTCTATTTGTTATTCTTGGTATATCCATATAAAAAGATGTATTGACAGGAAATAATTCGTCTGTAAGTCTTTTTATGTTTACAGCTTTACCATCAGTTGATGTAAAAAGATAATCAGCATTTCTACTAATTTGAATATTCAGAATACCCGAAGACAGTGCTATTGATAAAAGTAACGAACCTGCGATGAAATATAAAGGATGACCTCCTATTAATCTACCAAGTCTTTGAAATTGGCGTGAGAGCCCATTTTGAATACACATAAGATTCATTTTTTTTGGTTTGTTTGAAGATTACTAGAAGATAAAAATAATTAATAAATTAACAATTATTTTAAGTAATAATAATACTAATAATTTTAACATTTATTAAATAAATAGATTAAACTTAAATTAAAAATTTAATTACAGTATAGGAAACCTCTTCTATAAAGTATTATAGGATTCGTGTAGTATGCTTTATATATATATTTTGAGTGAAATTTTTTATTATAAAATTTACTTTAAATGTAATTTTTTTATGGTTTTCTATAATTTTCATACCATTTAATAGACATATAATATTATTTTAAAAAATTTTTTGTTTATTACTTTATAAAAAGATCATTAACTCTAATATACTAAGATTAACAGACTCTATAACTTTTTTTTTATTTTTTTATTATATTATTGATTTTTAAAATTAAAGCTAGAGGAAAATTTAAAAATATAAAACTCTAAATACATATAATGAATAATAATTTTCATATATTTAAATAATTAATTAGAATATTTACAGGATATTAAAAAAGTTTAAATAATTTTCTTAGAAAGGTAAACCTGTGAAATTCTTTTGAATAAAAATGAATAATTATATCTATTGTTTAGAATAATAAAATGATTAAAAAGGAAAATCTCAAATAGTTCATANAATTACAATAATATATAAATCAAATTGTTGTAGACAAGAAGTCATATAGATATTTAGATATCACAGCTATTTGTACACTCAACAAGTTATATATAAAAGATAATAAATTGTTCTTTGTAATAACTTGTAATATAAGATTGTTTTAAATGAATTGAAAGAAATAAATTATTTACAAATAATTAATATTCTGTTTACACTATGAAATCTATCTTAGAAACGTTAAAATATTCAAGAACAATTACTATAAATATATAAATCAAATTGTTGTAGACAAGAAGTCATATAGATATTTAGATATCACAGCTATTTGTACACTCAACAAGTTATATATAAAAGATAATAAATTGTTCTGTCAAGAAGTTAAATTATTTATCAACAGTGTTAATGGAAAGTCTAATATAGATTGTTCCACAAGGAATTAATCATATATATATATTTTTTTTTATTCAAGGATTTAATAAATCAAGGATTTATCGAAAGAAAATTATCCTTAATGTATTTTATAATGACTACTGTAGAGTTCTACTATTAAGTATTTAAAAAAATAGTTATACATTAATAAGAAGTTTCAATAATAAAAAAATAACTTCTTTTAAAATATTTACAAAAATGGGGGTGAAAATATATGAATAGAATGATTCTTCTTTCATTTTTTTGAACTTTGATTAATAGAATCTTTACAATACCAATTACTAACAAAACTGAGTATTACAGGTAACAAAAACATAGCATTAAATGCAGTTTCTATTGTTATTAAAAAAACAATTTTGAAAAATACACCAAACACATAATTACTTTGAAATGCCAAAATAACTACACCTAATATTGTCGATATTGAACCTTGCAATATTGGCCATCCCACTTCATACAACGATTCTTTAATTCTTTCATTCGGATTCTTATTTTTCGTTAACATAAAAGCAAATGAGACATGTGTTGGATAATTAATAGAAAATCCAGAACTCAAAATAAGTAAAATAACAGATATCATATCTAAATGAACATTCCATAATGACATATATCCTATAGTCTCACAAAGTGATGCAACGATTACAAAAGATATACAGATAACACTTATTATATTTGGTAAAAATATAAACAATATAACAATTGCTATAATGGATAAAACCCAAGCTAATTGAAAAACAATATCTTGAATTAGCAAAACGTGTTCCAAAAGAGGAAATGTAAAGGAATGTAATAAAACTGGTATTTCAGATTGCTTCGCTATAGTTTGTATATCTTTAAATAACTGAAGTTCTATTTGTCTGTTTACTATGTTTTTACATGCAATTATGTATCTGCTTGCTATTATTTCGGTAAAATTATCATTGAAGATAATGTCATCTCGAAATTGTCTAGCAGAAGGAATATTTAGAAAAACGTTACGTAATCCATCAATAAAGTCTTGTTTCTTTGATAAATCGTAATGATTTAAAGAAAATATAGATACGGGAGAATTAATAAATATTTTATAATATTTTAACCACGATAACGTAATAAATTCATCAGATGTATGAGGATGAGATTCAAACTTTTTCAACATATTTTCTACTGACTCTTGTATTGTTTTGTTTGAAAAATCTAATTGTTTATTAATTACGATATTTATAGGAAAAGGATATTCGGTAAAATGTTTATAAGTGTTTTCAATCAATGATGTGACATTTGAATCAGATTTAAAGAAATTAGTCAGTTCCATTCCAATAACCAAATATTTCATACTCCAAATTCCAACAGAAAAATTAATTATAGAAATTATAATAATGAATATTTTAGTAGGTTTAAGGCAAATAAATTCACCAATTTTATGTTTAAAAATTTTTGCCATAGGATCTTCTTCTTCTTCTTCATCTTTTAATTGAAGATTATCATAACCTATAATTAATAGAATATTTATACATATTAACTGTAATCTTTATAAATATTACATATAAAATTTTATTTTACAATATGAAATAAATACAAACCTTTAACTTTTCTCAATGTAAAAGGATTGAGATTATGTTCTTCTCTTAATCCAGAAATTGCCATCCATCCTCCAAAAAAGGTGATTTGATAGATATAATTTACAAATATAGATAATGAAGCAAAGATACAAAACGTGCGAATAGCAGGGAATGAAATTGTTATACCGATGCAAAAAGATAATAAACTAGTTAATGTTGTTATTGTTACCGAAACTGCAGCTTTTTTGAAAGTTTCTCCCATTCTATCATACACTTTCATTCTAGCACTTGTTCTTCTCCAAGCAGATATTAATACATAAGCATCATCTATTTCTATAGCTACAAATAAACATTTTAAACTTATATATAATCAAATATGCATAATACTAAATAGCTAAAAACTTACCTAATATGAGATAAGGTAACGTAACATTTATATCTATATTCTTCATACCGCAATAGAAAAGAAAACCAAAAGAAGTAACAGTAGATAATAGAGCTGATACACAACTAGCAACTCCTAGCCATGGCTTGCTTCTTATCCAACTATTTGTCATACAAGTTAATGTAGAAAAAAGTAATACAGTAAAGAAAACAACACTTGTTAATGGAAATAATCTCTTTGTAAATTCTATAATTTCTGAAATTAAACTCCATTTTCCTTCTGCGCTGACAGTGATGTATTGAAATTTCATTTCATTGATATAAGCTAAAAACTTTTCTTCAAACTTTTTAATACAATCTACTTTTGTTATATTATCATCATCAAATGGATATATTAAACGAACGGCTTTTGCAGTTTTTAAGTATCTGTTTTCATCTACTGTCACACCACCGAGGTTTACAATATATCTCGTATATGCATATGTAAATACATCAACATCTATAGGATATTTAACTTTATATTTTCCTTGTTCAAAATCTTTGATTTTTGGTTTTAATTTAAATATAGGATTTTCGAAACAGTCAATATATTTTGCACAAATATTACGATAGTATATTATCTGATCATTACAAATTATGGTAAAGTTATTTATTATTTTATCTATCGTTTCTAATTCATTAAATGCAAATTCTGTCAACAATGATTCTTCGTTAGAAATTACTAAGAAAAATAATCCTCCACTATCTTTAGTTGATCTAAATATATCGAAATTTTTAGATGTGTTAATAGGAAAAAGAGATTCTACAATATTTTTATTTTTTACGCTTTTACTAGTTTCCGACGAGAATAATTTGATGAATTCTCTATCATAATTCATTCTTATTATTCCTGTTCCAAATATAACTGAAATAATAATAGGAATAATCACGAACGGAGCAGGCTTATATCCTATAGCTTTTCCTAATTTTTCTAAACAGGAAGAAAGTTTAATTTGTATAATATCATAATGTATCTTCATTATTATCTGTCNCAATAATATATATTAAGAAGAGTTAATGAAATAACTCAAAATAATTTGTAATAATTATAATTGAATAATTCTTATTCAGTACTGTATATAATAACAGATAAGTATAAAACTTCGAGGAGAATGCTAACTAGAACATTCCTATGAGAATTTAATTATGAAATTCATTACATGAAAGGTATATATAGGGAGGAAAGTGTCAACAAAAGTAAATTTAAAGAGTCACGCGAGTTATCAATAACAATTACATGTAAACAGTAAACTATGTTTCGATTTTTCTATTTAAGTACTGTACATTAGAGATGATAGAGATGAATTAAAAGATTCTTTCACATATTTAAAAGTTTTACATTTAATAAAATTCTAAAATCTCAATACTCGTCTTTTAAAAAAAGGATAACAGATGTATTCAATAGAATTAAGTGCAGATGAAAAAAAATAATATTAATAATTTATTAATAACTTTCTTATAAGAGCTTATATGAATATCGTTATTAACTTCTCAATAAAATAGATAAAAGAAAAGTATTTTAAGTGGAGACAGATAATGGAGACTGTAATAACTTTAAAAGAAAAATATGTTAAAAATTACTGCTTTTGTTCTTTATATAAGTTTGAGTTTCAATACGTTAACAATTTTAATTATTTTTATTCTCCACTTTGAACTTAATAACAAGAAACATATAGAGAAGAGGAAAGACAGATGTTTTTTTTTGCCTTAGGGAAAAATGTATACTTTCTTTCAAAGATTCCTTGATCGCATCTACGTACGATTAAAAGAAAAAATGATTAATTCATTAATATTAGAGTTTCATGAAGGGACAACAAATGTTGATGGATTAATCACTTTTTCTTTTTTTACCGATACAGAAACGATCCACAAGTTCGTGGAAGAAAGACACGTGTTTTTCCCTAAGGGCGAAAAAAAATACACTTTGTCTTTCCTCTACTAAATTCATTTCTTAGTACTTGTAAAATGTAAAGAAATTACTAATTAAAAACATTAATAAAGAAGCAAAAATTGTAAACGTGCCGAAATTGCAACACGATAAATAATTCATTAATTTGAATAAATAATTTCGAATCGTGATTCACTGCAGTGACTCCCCACTAATTAAAAAAAGTCACCGACTGACTACACAGGAATTAGAGTTGACGATTTTCGAGGGTTTATTTCTCCGTTCTCCAAACACCTGAAGTAATTCCGAATATCTCGTTCGATAGAAAATTGTTTTCTTAGATAATACGTAAAATTTCAAGATTTTCTATAAAGCGGTTGCCGAAATATAAGCAATTGAAAAGTACAAATATCGCAAAAAAAACTATTAATAAGCTTGGCGCTTTGAAACGGTACCCAAAAGATTTTTACCTGTATTATTGTTTTCTACGTTTAGACTTCAAGCGCCAAGCTTATTTTTACCAAAGAAAAACTCTTAAGAAAAATTTTGACCTCTCTAAAATGTCATAAATCTTTATATTTTTAAATCTCATATGATTTTTTTTAGTAAATTATTCAGACAAAATTACTTTCTGTTTTTGTGTTACGGGAGCTGTAGACTGTCAAACTGGCAGATTATAAAATTTACATACGATGAAAGATCGAGTGGGCTGTATATTAATTAAACTGCTGAATTTATTAAGGAAATGAACTCATATGACGGTACAGTATACAGCAATGTACAGTAACATACCGAGTACAGCAATACAGAAAGATTTCTGGATATTGAAAACATATAATAATTGAAATTTCTCATTAAAGTGAATATTTTAAGTATATTTAAGATGAAATGAATGAATCATATAAAAGATATAAACGGTCATATATCATATATACAGTCGACCACCCCCCATAACACTGTTGATAATTTCATTTTATATGAATTCCATGTTATACGAGTCACTTAGATTTTACAAATACGTGAGCCGTTCAAAGCTTGGCACATGTATTTGTAAAATCTAAGTGACTCGTACAACATGGAATTCATATAAAACGGAATTATCAACATTGTTTTAGGTGAGTCGACTGTAATCGAATAAACTGTTAACTGTATATTTTTAAAATAAAAAATCTATATAATATTCTCTTAAAAACAATTAAAAACTACTCGTTAAGAAGAATTTTAGGTGTGTAAAAATAAAAAAATATATATATGTAACTCATTTTTTAATCGAATTACAAAATTTGCTTATTGTTTAAAATTACTTTCTCACTAAAATTAAGGATCACTGAACAATAATGTTAAAAAAATCGAGGTAATAATAATAATAATAATTGTTAATTGCTTATACCAAAGATCTTTTTAATATCTTCAGTAAGTAGGTTAGAAAGGATAAATTAATAATTTACAATGTTATCAAGTAAATAAAACCAAAAGTTTTAATTCAATCGTTAAAATATTTCGAGGAAACCTATTATAAAATAGTTAAATTGTTTTAAAAATATTTATTGTGTTTCCTCATTTATATTTATTATTTTTGTATAGAAATTACACAATTAAAGATGTTTGTAAAAATATAAAGTCATTAACAAATTTTAAAATGGTTTTAAAACATTTCTGGAAAGTAGAAAAACAAATTTTGTTTGTCGTTCTGAGAAGCATTCGAATGGGAGGGGGAAATATATATATATATTGAAAATTATATATTGAGTAATAACGTATTTTATAAATGGGATTTAGAACCAAAATTGAACTAAAATCCTTTGAAATGAAAGCTTTACTTATTTGCATAAAGGGAAAGTGAACATTTCAATGTTTTCTAGGAAGGTGGCCTATTTTCCTTGATACATATAAAAAAGAAAAAAAATATATTTATATATAAACAATAATTTCCTTTTAACAATTCCTTATCATTTAGAAATATAATAAAATCTTTATAATAATAATTAAAGAAAAAAATAATAATTTTCTTATTTTTTGTGAAGTTTCAATGCTGCAATTTATCATTTTGATATTAAAATAAATAAAATATTAAATTTAAAACGCTTATAATAAAAGAAATCTGTTTTAAATTAATATTATAGAAAGTTATAAGTTAATATTATATATATTTTATGACTTTTTCTTCTATTTCTCATTAATTATACTCAGTTTTAAAGGGTTTTATATTGTGTATATATATATATCAACAATTAACAGAGTTTAAGTGTATTATATCTATCTAAAACATATAGTGAGAATTTCTTAAATTAATATATTAAAACATCGAAAGTTAATTTTTTTTTATTTAACTTTTAAATTATTTTTAGAGTAATTATAAAATAAACGAGTTGTAAGTTATAGCCAAATAAAAATTTATGCAGGCAAAAAGAGACATTAAAAACGAATAAGGAGACTGTACTGTATAAGGAAATAAACTAAAAATTAGGTGACATTGAAATTACAGGGAAGTTTATTCTTATTTTATCAATGTTATACGTATTTAATCATAAATTTTAAAACGATAGTGACGTTTTTTTTACATAGTTATAATTTAACTTTGAGTAAATAATTAAGAAAAATCTATGATTATATACAGTTAAATTTGAAAAAATAAAGTATTAAAAGACAATTTATCTACATATAATTCTGTTGTTTCTGTTAACTGCTTTGTTTTCAATGCATAATTTTCTTTGATAGATGATAATAATAGATAGACGACATACTTACTTGTTTCTTGTTCTTTATGAAGAGGTCAACATAATGTTCAATTATTAAAATAAATGAAATAAATTTTATTAAGATTTTAAACTGGAGAAGTGTCACAGGAATATATTATTATACATTCTTTCATTTCGAAACTTATTAATTAATGCAAAGGGGAACTCTGATGTATTATATAACAGGTTTGATCTGTTTTATAATGATTCAATAAAACACCAGAAAAACACCTATTTTTTTTTTACACGAAGAGACACAGAATTTGTTAAATATATTATAAAATACATAATATATATATTATGCTATTAAAATATAAAATTTTTTTTATTATTTGAAATGAATCGCTCAATGTAAAACATACAGTACAATATTAAAATTCGGTATTAAATACTATACATCTTGAAGGTATATTCTGTAATATAAAATAAAATTTCCGAATTTAAATGTGTCCAACCTAATTTTTCGTCCTTGTATATAGAGATAAATAGAACTAGAATCCCCAATGTGTCAAATTTTCAAATTTTATAGAACGAATAAAATATTAGAGTGAAAAAAAAAATATATGTTTATATGGGCCATCTTGTTAAATGTTTGATTTATTTCACAATATATATATTTCTGTATAAATAATTTACGAAATTTCTGTGTAAAATAGCTAACAAAATATTCATCTTCGTTTATTTAAGCTGTCGTTTTAACTTATTTCGTAAAGAAAAATCCTATGTCATATTTTTCTCAAGGATTCTTAAAATAAGTCTTTAAATATGTCAGAAACGTGTGAGTTTTTTACGATTTAAAAACTTAATTCATTAACATTACTTTTAAATATTACATTAATATATGTATTTAATTATTAATTATTTATTTACAAATGTAATAATTTATGTTTAACATTGATTTATACACTTAATGAATAGAGTGAAATGTTTAAATTAATTTCCAAAAATTAACTTAATTTATCATTATATTATTTCTATATTTTACTCTATTCTATTTCATTGATTTTGTCTCAAAATTTTTAAAATGATGTTGTAATAAATTCATTATAAAATATTTTTTTTATAATAATTTTTTATAATAAGGCCATTAACTTATAAAGTTTTTGTAAATGCAATATCTGGGAATTCTGTATTAAATATAATAAATTTCTATTGTATACATGTACTGTATGTATGTATACAAAGGAAAACTCATGTTTTTAATATATATTAAAAAGTTATTTTAAAAATAGCCTAATTAAATTTAAAAATATTTCATTAAACTATGAAATTAGTATGAAATATCATTTATTATATTCACTATAAAAATTCCCAGATATTGCGTGTACATAAGAACATCATTTATCTATTGTTAACAAAACAATCATAAATTTTATTGCATATTTTATTATTTATAAACAGAAGGAAATTTTTAAAAAATATTTTTATTATAATTTATTATTATTATTTTTTTATTCACAAAATTAAAGACAGTTATTACATTAAAAAAATTAAATCTAAAAATTCTTAGATTCTTAAATTATAGAGTAAAATATATAAAATATTTTGAAATTTATCATTCTTTGTAATAACTTGTAATATAAGATTGTTTTAAATGAATTGAAAGAAATAAATTATTTACAAATAATTAATATTCTGTTTACACTATGAAATCTATCTTAGAAACGTTAAAATATTCAAGAACAATTACTATAAATATATAAATCAAATTGTTGTAGACAAGAAGTCATATAGATATTTAGATATCACAGCTATTTGTACACTCAACAAGTTATATATAAAAGATAATAAATTGTTCTGTCAAGAAGTTAAATTATTTATCAACAGTGTTAATGGAAAGTCTAATATAGATTGTTCCACAAGGAATTAATCATATATATATATTTTTTTTTATTCAAGGATTTAATAAATCAAGGATTTATCGAAAGAAAATTATCCTTAATGTATTTTATAATGACTACTGTAGAGTTCTACTATTAAGTATTTAAAAAAATAGTTATACATTAATAAGAAGTTTCAATAATAAAAAAATAACTTCTTTTAAAATATTTACAAAAATGGGGGTGAAAATATATGAATAGAATGATTCTTCTTTCATTTTTTTGAACTTTGATTAATAGAATCTTTACAATACCAATTACTAACAAAACTGAGTATTACAGGTAACAAAAACATAGCATTAAATGCAGTTTCTATTGTTATTAAAAAAACAATTTTGAAAAATACACCAAACACATAATTACTTTGAAATGCCAAAATAACTACACCTAATATTGTCGATATTGAACCTTGCAATATTGGCCATCCCACTTCATACAACGATTCTTTAATTCTTTCATTCGGATTCTTATTTTTCGTTAACATAAAAGCAAATGAGACATGTGTTGGATAATTAATAGAAAATCCAGAACTCAAAATAAGTAAAATAACAGATATCATATCTAAATGAACATTCCATAATGACATATATCCTATAGTCTCACAAAGTGATGCAACGATTACAAAAGATATACAGATAACACTTATTATATTTGGTAAAAATATAAACAATATAACAATTGCTATAATGGATAAAACCCAAGCTAATTGAAAAACAATATCTTGAATTAGCAAAACGTGTTCCAAAAGAGGAAATGTAAAGGAATGTAATAAAACTGGTATTTCAGATTGCTTCGCTATAGTTTGTATATCTTTAAATAACTGAAGTTCTATTTGTCTGTTTACTATGTTTTTACATGCAATTATGTATCTGCTTGCTATTATTTCGGTAAAATTATCATTGAAGATAATGTCATCTCGAAATTGTCTAGCAGAAGGAATATTTAGAAAAACGTTACGTAATCCATCAATAAAGTCTTGTTTCTTTGATAAATCGTAATGATTTAAAGAAAATATAGATACGGGAGAATTAATAAATATTTTATAATATTTTAACCACGATAACGTAATAAATTCATCAGATGTATGAGGATGAGATTCAAACTTTTTCAACATATTTTCTACTGACTCTTGTATTGTTTTGTTTGAAAAATCTAATTGTTTATTAATTACGATATTTATAGGAAAAGGATATTCGGTAAAATGTTTATAAGTGTTTTCAATCAATGATGTGACATTTGAATCAGATTTAAAGAAATTAGTCAGTTCCATTCCAATAACCAAATATTTCATACTCCAAATTCCAACAGAAAAATTAATTATAGAAATTATAATAATGAATATTTTAGTAGGTTTAAGGCAAATAAATTCACCAATTTTATGTTTAAAAATTTTTGCCATAGGATCTTCTTCTTCTTCTTCATCTTTTAATTGAATATTATCATAACCTATAATTAATAGAATATTTATACATATTAACTGTAATCTTTATAAATATTACATATAAAATTTTATTTTACAATATGAAATAAATACAAACCTTTAACTTTTCTCAATGTAAAAGGATTGAGATTATGTTCTTCTCTTAATCCAGAAATTGCCATCCATCCTCCAAAAAAGGTGATTTGATAGATATAATTTACAAATATAGATAATGAAGCAAAGATACAAAACGTGCGAATAGCAGGGAATGAAATTGTTATACCGATGCAAAAAGATAATAAACTAGTTAATGTTGTTATTGTTACCGAAACTGCAGCTTTTTTGAAAGTTTCTCCCATTCTATCATACACTTTCATTCTAGCACTTGTTCTTCTCCAAGCAGATATTAATACATAAGCATCATCTATTTCTATAGCTACAAATAAACATTTTAAACTTATATATAATCAAATATGCATAATACTAAATAGCTAAAAACTTACCTAATATGAGATAAGGTAACGTAACATTTATATCTATATTCTTCATACCGCAATAGAAAAGAAAACCAAAAGAAGTAACAGTAGATAATAGAGCTGATACACAACTAGCAACTCCTAGCCATGGCTTGCTTCTTATCCAACTATTTGTCATACAAGTTAATGTAGAAAAAAGTAATACAGTAAAGAAAACAACACTTGTTAATGGAAATAATCTCTTTGTAAATTCTATAATTTCTGAAATTAAACTCCATTTTCCTTCTGCGCTGACAGTGATGTATTGAAATTTCATTTCATTGATATAAGCTAAAAACTTTTCTTCAAACTTTTTAATACAATCTACTTTTGTTATATTATCATCATCAAATGGATATATTAAACGAACGGCTTTTGCAGTTTTTAAGTATCTGTTTTCATCTACTGTCACACCACCGAGGTTTACAATATATCTCGTATATGCATATGTAAATACATCAACATCTATAGGATATTTAACTTTATATTTTCCTTGTTCAAAATCTTTGATTTTTGGTTTTAATTTAAATATAGGATTTTCGAAACAGTCAATATATTTTGCACAAATATTACGATAGTATATTATCTGATCATTACAAATTATGGTAAAGTTATTTATTATTTTATCTATCGTTTCTAATTCATTAAATGCAAATTCTGTCAACAATGATTCTTCGTTAGAAATTACTAAGAAAAATAATCCTCCACTATCTTTAGTTGATCTAAATATATCGAAATTTTTAGATGTGTTAATAGGAAAAAGAGATTCTACAATATTTTTATTTTTTACGCTTTTACTAGTTTCCGACGAGAATAATTTGATGAATTCTCTATCATAATTCATTCTTATTATTCCTGTTCCAAATATAACTGAAATAATAATAGGAATAATCACGAACGGAGCAGGCTTATATCCTATAGCTTTTCCTAATTTTTCTAAACAGGAAGAAAGTTTAATTTGTATAATATCATAATGTATCTTCATTATTATCTGTAAAAAAAAGAAGTTTAATATTAAGTAATAAATAACATTAATTAAAACAAATAAGATAATTATAAATTTAAATATATCAAAATTATAATTAGGAATATATTAAATAACGAAATAAAAATATTTAATTATAAAAATTATACAGTAAACAAACCCGAAATTATAAATTAATAATAATATTAAAATTATTAATGTTAAAAATGTAATAAGTACTATATTAACTAAGTTTCTTTATCTACAATTAAAAAAAAAATAACTCAAAATATTTAGACAATATATTCCAATTTTAAATGAGATTAGTAGAATACGATTAGTAGGAGATAGAAGCCAAACAAACATTCTTCGACCTAAAAGTTTATTAATAAACAATTCCATATGGATTACTTTAGGAATATGATCTGTTTAAAAAAGACAATAAACTCACGGGGAAGAGATAATAAATCAATGTATTTATAATTTTACTGCTGACATTATTAATTTTTTTAAATGTGTATCTTTATACCACATATTTCAGAGGAAGCCAAAAGTTCCTGAAGTTATAACTCAAACTAGTTACAGTCGACTCCCCTATAACACTGTTGATAATTCTGTTTTATATGAATTCCATGTTGTACGAGTCACTTAGATTTTACAAATACGTGAGCCGTTCACAGCCTGGCACACATATTTGTTAAATCTAAGTGACTCGTATAACATGGAATTCATATAAAACGGAATTATCAACTGTGTTATAGGGGGGGTCGACTGTATTTCTAATTATCTAAACCTTTCATTTGTTAGAATTTAATATAAAATTTATAAATTTTTTTGTGCAAATTTCAGTCAATAGGTCTAGATCTTTCATTAGATTTAGATGAATCATATCTTTATCGTATATATTTTATTTTTGTTGATTATTTAAGATTTTTTAAAGCATAAAACTAATTAACGATGATGAATATACACCACGTATAAGCTAGTTGATATAAAAACATACTTAAAATGAAACGTTTTAAATAAAGACTGAAAATTCTAATCTAATTTCAAGAGAACTATAGCGCATTTTATAATATTTTTTTTCATTATTATCATATAAATATTTGTTCACCAATAAAATCTCTCTTCTACTAAACTTACACAACTTACTCCATTATTAAAAATTTGGCTCAATTATTCACTTGAAAATTAATCAATCGTCAAAAGATTATGATAAGTAGGTTAGTTTATATTATTTATATATGTCTAATATAAACTAATGATAATATAATATAAGCCAGTGATGTATAAGTATATATATATATATAGGTCTATACATCTGTATAACATTAAATAAAATACATACTAACCTGATTTTGTTTATAATATACGAACATAATTAATGAAATACAGTACTTTATTATTATTATTATATATATATAAATATATNTTAACTGAAACCTATTAGTTAATAATTGTTTTTCGTTACTAAAAATACTAAAGTTTGTATTTTTTTTAAAATATTTATATCATAAAAGTATTATGACATATTATAAAGATATTTAAAAGCAATACATTTTTTTCCTTTAGATTTTAATATTTTATTCAAATTTTACATACATTCTTGAATCGTTGTATTAATGTAAAGTCATAAAATCCATTTAAATAATATGTAATAAAATTAGTATTTATGGTTGAATATTTAGAACTTCAGTGTTTGAAGATAAAAATTAATGTCTTACAACTGTCCTAAATCTTTAAACATGGCATAATGATTTTGTTTTAAATCATTAAAGCTTAAATCTAACTTAGTAGCATGTGTATACAAGGTATTACTTTCAGCAAATCAATTTAATTCTACTACTTTATAAACTGGATTAAAAGAATTATTATTATTATTATTATTATTATTGTGTAAAAGTGCCCGTATCAACTGAATAAAGTGGATAAACGCCAAGTGTTTTAATAATAACACAGTCTTGTGTTCAATAGTAAAAAAATTATTATTATTAACAAATTAAATCTACAAAATAAAATTGTATACTATTTTAAAAATATATAACATTATCTTTGTTTATATTTCTTTTTATTTCATTTATAAAATGATCAATATTTTAAATGTATGATTTTTTAAATCTAAATTAAATATAAAGCAGCAAAAAAGGAGAGAAATTCTTTTACTCGATCTTTATGTTATATTATATTATTTTCTTTTAAATAATTTATTTTATAAATTATTAATATGAGAAAAAATTACTTACAATAATGATAACGGGATATGTTTTATGACCAGTTTCCTTTAATCTGCGTAGCAATATTGACTCTTATCATTCGATCTCCATGTAGAAATTATTATCTCTCATATTAAAGGACGAAACAAATTTCATTTGTCAATAAGGATTTTTAAATAAATTAAATAACTTTATCAAGAAAACGTGCTTATTTTTTCCTTCTTTTTTTTGCGGTGTTCTAAATATCTAAATAAAACATCTAAATATCAATGTTTATATTAGGTTTATTAAAGATATTTTAGATTCTGTTTTGCTCAATAAAAATTGATAATATTATCATAATTAAAAATTTAACTTGTTTTCCTCAAAATAACAAGTTAGATTTCCCCTGTACCGTGGGGTTAGTACACGGGGCAATGATGGACAGTTAGAAAGTAGGCAAAATTTTACAAAGAAAATAAAGAAATGAAATATAATTTATTTACACAAATTAATTAGAAATTGAATAACAATAGTTTCGTTAATTTATAAGAAAGGAAAATGAAGTATTAAATCATTACAATTTTAGGTTTCTATGGACATGAGTAGATCCTGATTATGGCAGTCACTTTCCTTGTATTTTCTAAAATATAAATACATATTTTACGATTATTTTCATATTTTAACGTACTTTGAATTAATTAAAATTAATATTTTATTATGTATCTTATTACAAATTTCTATACATGTAAAAAACAATGATAAGATTGCTATTGTAATATTCGAATATAAATTCGTATATGCATATCCTCAATGGAAGCGCTGTATTGTCGAATACGGGACAGCTCTCACGGTGAAAATATTTGAACAGTGTAAAACAGCCAGATTATACACATTCGCTTTACCGAGAACCAACCTTACGCGGTTTAGCTCGTGGATGCTACACATCAACGAGTTTTCAGCTGCATAAAACGTGAAAAAAGAGAGTAAAAACATTTGTAACAATACATGTAATCGATAAAAAATTTCATACAACATTACACGTTCGGAACCTCTTTTTATTTTTTACAATATTTCAGGCTTTTTTCAGTGTAATGGTTTCCCCAGTCTCCCCTAATTATGCTGATACCTTCATTCCTCCGATTAAATATAAATTTATCAATGTAGTTTGAAACATAATAGTGGACAATAAATGTTTTTAAAATTGTTATTACATATTGTATCATTCTTATGCTTCAAACTTCATACACAGATTCTACTTTTTAGAAAGTAAACAATTAACAAGTCGACCCCCCTATAACACTGTTGATTTTTCCGTTTTATATGAATTCCATGTTGTACGAGTCACTTAGATTTTACAAATACGAATATTTAATATTTTCTTTTATCACAAAGTCTATTTTTTTCATGGATACACTTATATTTAGGTAAAATATCGAAAAATAAAATAAAAAAACTACATTCAGTTTTAAAAGAACGTTTCTGATGATAGAGCGTTGTTCTCGAAATCATTACACGACTTCATGAAAAAGTCACATAAAAGTTATTTGAATTGAGTAAGTTAAGTGTTTTTAAAATATATAATACTATGTTATTTTTGAAAAATAAATAAAGGTAAAGTAACGAGCTTTCAGAAAATGACCTCATTTAACGCTACAAAACAAACATTAAATTATTATAATCATTTTACTTTTTATATAAATAACTTGAAAATTCTTCGAATACATTTTACGTAATGTAAAATGGAAATTTTCGAAAGTTTTAAGTGAATTTAATTTGAAAAATCTTTTCCTTATAATATTTAATTATCATCCAATATTGACATTCTCACATCATTAAAATATCAGAAACTATATTACGTTCTACGACATAAAAACAATATTTATTATTAAAAATTTATTTTGTAATTGCAGCTAAAGAAGTAGATAAACTTTCTTCTTGTAAATTTAATATATACTTTATAAATATTTGTCATTAAGACTTTAAGCTGTAAAAATAAAATCTGTAGATTCATTATAATATATTAAATTATTTAATAATTGTTGGTGAGAGTATCATGACACTCTCCTAGAGACATTCCAGATGACATTTAGACCTTTGTTTATATAAGAAGATTCATGTACTTTTTACCTTATCTCCTTTCGTTTTTTTTTTGCATTTGTACTCTATACAGCTTAGATTAAACTCTCTGTTCAAACCAAGCAGTTCCCTTTTTTACTTTACTCCGCTCCAAGGAAATCCAAGGAAAAAATTTGTTTTCATACAGAGAGCAAGTGCCTTGGCTTGCCTTGCATTAAATTATAAATAATTTTTTCAATATTCTGAGGTATGGAATTTCATACCTGCAAAAATGTGAGGTATGAAGTCTTCCATATCTTCCATAGTGAAAACGACACCTCTGACTGTAACCCACAGGATTTGAAACGATTTTTCGATTATAATAGTTCATTCGGCCACTAACAACAATATTTAATAATGACGACCACGATTAAAATCGAACCTTTAAAGAAGGATAACTACAACACGTGGAAAATTCAAGCAAAAGCTATCTTAGTTAAAAATGGAATATGGAAATATATAAATGGGACATATCCACGACCCATCGATGATGAGGAAAAAGCAGCCACAAGAGATACATGGTGTCTCGACAGTAGCGCATCTTCCTACATGTGTTCTAATTGAAATGATTTCGCAGAAATACGGACGAACCTTGAAAATAGCCAGCAAAGAAAACACTGCGACAATCGAAGGAATCGGCTCAGTGTAATTAGCACTTGACGATAAATCAGCAGGACGAGTATTTGACTTATCTAACACTCTCCTGGTTTCAGACCTTCGAACAAATCTCGTGTCTGTAAGATTTGTGATGAAGGCTATGAAGTTTCATTTCGCAAACAAGTTGCATATTTCGTAGACCGAAACTACAACGTTGTTGCTACTGCTGATCGAGTGAACGAACTCTACCACATTCGTAAATGGAATCCGGTTGCTGTCATCGCTCAATATAAGTCCATACTAATGTATTGGCATGAACGTCTAGGTCATCTTAATCAAAAGAGCCTAAAGACGATCTTGTTACGTCTTAGAATTCTAATCCCGTCTAGTGATCGACTATCCCCGTGTGAGACATGCCTCAAAGCAAACATGGTGCAAAATCCGTTTCCTTCAGCAGACAACCAACGAACTACCAATGTACTTGAAATCGTACACACTAATATCTGTGAGCCGACTCGAATTCAATCTATATCAGGCGCTAGATACTTTACTGTCTTCGATCTCGATAGTGTGAAGTACGTTTTCCCCGCAACAAAAGCAATATACTGAACGTCTTTAAAGAAGTGAAGAACCTTCTAGAGAACAGTTCAGGACCAAAGCCAAATGTCTTCAATCTGACAACGGAACCGAATGTTGTAACAAAGAATTAGATGAATATTTGAAAGAATGTGGGATAAAACGACGCTTAATCGTTCCCCATACCCCACAACAAACGCAGTGACTGAAAGAAAGAATCGAACATTGATGCATGATAATTCAGTCAGGACTCAAGGCCTTCTTTTGGGCCGAAGCCGTCCACACTGCAAACTTTAACCTGAACCGCTGTCCTTCTAGAGCCTTAGACAATGATACACCCTACAAAATTGTGAATGGCAGGGATTGCAAACTTTCTCACTTTCGAACTTTTGGTAGTCCCGTTTTTGTACTCAACAAGGACTCAACTATCGGTAAATTTAATCCTCGCTCTGAAGAAGGCATATTCATAGGATATTCTGAATAATCCAAAGCCTATCGAATTTAGATGCCAACTCAGAAAAAAATAGTTGCGATCCGAAAACTTTGAGGACTTTGAAAACTTTGAGGAATTCAACTTCGAAAAATTTTCGTTACAAGAAAAGGAATCTCATCGTCACGAAGTAATCACTGAGTTAACTAAACCTCCATCCCTAACAATTGAACAAGGGGAAGAGAACATCCATCACACCATCCAACAAGATGACGATGGAAATAAAATCCTCAGTAAAAACAGCGTTCCTTAATGGAAACATAGACCAGAAGATTTTCATGCAGCTGCCGGACCAAATCGAAATAATCCTAGAAGATGTAATTAAAAACTCAACAGGACAGACGCGAACGAAAGCAGAACAAATGCTACAATATATCCAAGAAGGCAGCAAAGTCTGTCAACTTAAAAAGGTCCTCTAAGGACCACGACAAAGTTTGTGTACATGTCACCTATGGTATAAACGACTGGATGATGAGCTCAAACAATTAGGCTTAAGAACTTTGACCCCTGCGTCTATGTTCGAAATAAACAGAATAACTTAACCTTTGTCATCATCTATGTTGACGACTTCATCATTGCCTCACGTGACGAAATCGAAAATGCCAACCTAAAGAAGACTAATGTCCAAATTTGATACGAAAGACCTGGGACAACGTCACTATTGCTTGAGCATTGAATTCTTCCAACGAGAAAAGGAGAGGAAGACGGTAATCCAAATGTGCCAAAAGCTCTAAACTTCACAGGCCTGAAAACCCATCAGTTCAGGAAATGAAGCAATTTCTATTTCAAAAGCTAATTGGTTGTCTTCTTTATCTTTCTACCTGAAACAGGCCAGACATTGCACATGAAGAAAGCAAACTGAGCCATTATAACACCCAACATGACTAAATACACACTGGACTACAGCGAACAATCCTTCGACATCTAAGAGGGACCACCAATCATGGCCTGACTTTCGAAACAACCGGAGAGCCACTTACAGGATTCTCAGACTCTGACTCGGGAGCTTCGACAGATGATCTCCGTTCCTTCTCGGGGTACATTTTTAAGCTCGCTGGTGGACCAATCTCTTGGGAATCAAGAAAACAACGCACAGTTGCCTTATCGAGCACCGAGGCCGAATACATGGCACTATCAGATGCCACCAAAGAAGCTCTACAACTAGTAGAACTTTTTGATGAACTCTCAAGAAGCAATATATCCAAATTGACAATTTATTGCGATAACCAAGGGGCACAATTACTTGCTCGAAATTCAATATTTCAGTCGCGAAGCAAGCACATAGCATAAGACATCATTTCGTGCGTGAATGCGTTGAACGAGGAAGAATAGACATCGCATTTAT